ACACGTCTCCAGCCTCAATCCTGCACAGAATTGCCTACGCGCTCAGCAGGATTCCACAGATCTGACCCGTTTGGGTCTCCTCGAGTCCCGTGAAAACCTAAACTAGCCCTAGGAGAGAAAAGGAAAGGCGTGATGGGACACCGGGGTCAGATTTTGGGTCCTTGTGTCGGCTGTGCCTGCATTAAGACCCGTGTTTTGGCTTGTCCACAGACATCTGGTTTGCACTGTAACTCATCTTTAGTGGAACCTGGCAATGGCGTTTTAATAAGTGGGGGAGTTTTTTTTTTTTTTTTAAACTCCCCTACTTAAAAAAAAACAACAAATGGCCTTGACATTTAAAACTTGCAGTTTGCTTATTTTCTGTTGTTGTGAAGCATAATAAAGAGCATCGATGGCCTCGTTCTTACCCAGTCCGTCTCCCTCCCGTCCAGCTCAACTTGACTTTCTACAGCTGACAGAGAATAAGGGGAAGTGAAACCTGACCTATTCTTGACAAGGATACATCACTCCTGCCAGGATGCATCTCTGTCTAGCACCCCCCTTTTTTTTTTTTTTCTTGGTGCCAGGAAATGGCAGCTGGGCGTTTTGATTGATGGAAAGCTGATGCAAGGATCAAGATAAGAAGTGCGCTTGCCTCTGTATTCAAGATTTGTAGTAGTCTGAGTAAATGATTCATGGTGAGATTACAGAAAGAAGCAGAGAACTGGGTCAGAACGGCATTTGTGAAAATCAAAGGGTGTGAGAAAGCAATGGAGATGGAAAATGAGGTTGGAATTTTTATTACTGAAATGTGCATCTTTGCTAAAGACCTTTGCAGTTGAAGATATTCCCGTTTTACCTGTCCAATATTTTGCGATCCAGTGTGAATTATTGCCTCGGTTTCCTGTTGCCAGCTGACAACCGTGGCTCCTAACGTGGTCTGCTGTAGTTCACCTGCCTCAAGGTTCAATCCGTTCAGAGATTCTGTGGTTATTAGAGCGAATGCAGCCTCTCTGTCATCTCGAACCACCGTCCCCGTTCTCCTCTGACAAACAACGAGGCATTTGTGTCCGCACAACTGGTTCTCTCTGAATATTTTCTCCTTTTTTGGGCCATTCTCTGTAAACCATCCAGGCAGTCCGACTCCTCTGCGACAGCAATGCTGCACAAGCAGATACTGCAAACGACGATTTCAAGAGAAACTCAATGTTAGATCACAATCGACTCCAAAATCAAGACCCTGACGCTCATATGACATTTAAAGCTGGCCACTCTGAGCAGGTTTCGCGTCTAATGTCCAGACAAAGCAAAGGTCGAGCTATCTTGCAAAGTTGACGTGTAGTGTGTGTGTAGAGGAGTCGTGGGTGACACTTTCAGCTTTTTATCAACTTTAAACCATGCTCTTGGGTGTATTTGCTCTCATCGGTGCATTGCACAAAATGAGCAAAATAGCAAAAAAATAATCTTCAGGTCAATAACCCCAAATATACATCACAACAGATTTTTGAACTGATAAAATAGGCTATTATTTATTTATTTGTTGAGAAAACTAACTAATTTCAACTACATCTGCCAATTTTTTGCAAATATCCTGCCAAAAATAATGGCAAGCCATTGTTGATGGTTACAAAAACATGTCGTCAGGATGCAGCTCACTTAGAGACATTTAACCAGTGGCATATTTTTTAACCCATATGAAGACTTTCCACCCCTTTAGTACTTGCATTGCATTTTTTCCCCCTCTTTTACCTGGTTCTAGTTCTTAGTATACATGTGGCTTTGCAGACAAGAGTGTGTGTTCGTGTGTACCTGCGTGTAAAGAGTGTTCTTGCACAGGCCTGCTCCAGCTCCCTGAGGGCATGTTTGTGGTTTCTGTTATGGTCGTGTTCACATAGACCGATTTCTTCTCGACGGCCTTTCCACTTCCACTCTTTGCTTTGCAGACAGTATAACGCACGTGCGCCGCAAATAGCATTCACAATTTTGTGAAGGATGTCAGATATACCGCTTCTTTTTGTTCATGTTTGCTCTTGTTCGCACACAAAGAGACACTTGTGTCTGGCACTATTAGAGGGTGTGACTGAAATGGCTTTTGGTGATTTAATACTTCCTTCCTCCACACATGCAGAACGACTTTAAGGCCGATGGAGGAAAGGGAAACGAGGAAGTGAGACGCAATAACAAGAATTAATTTCTAAACAGCATTAGGAATGGATCGATTTAGCAAAAGGTTCACAGTTGTACTGCAGCAACAATGTTAACAGAAAACTTTAAAAGATCAAACGAATGAACTATGTCGTTGCTTTAATTGAAAATAGTCGGCCAGCAAGCTTCTATCTTTCCGGTGTTGTTTTAATAGGAATTAACAGTGGTGTTTCTTCATTTTCTACCCTATTACAAGCCACGTTATTTTCATCCAGCTGATCAGTAGTGCACAGCAGAGGACAAAAGTGGGGAAACTCTGTGTTACTTTGTGCTCCATGTAACTTAAGGACATTTTTTCTGGCGTTCCATTGAAAAGGTTTTAACCTGCAGGAACGGCTTGAAAGAAATTTTAACCAATTTCTAAAACAAGAACTTTTTAAAATCTTGGTGCACCTTGATACCAGCTACTGGCCAATGGCTAAACACTGTGAACACTCACAAGCCCCTCTAGGTACACCACTGTACATTGTGGTACTGGGCTGGATCCCCTTTTCCCCCCCTCAAAACTGCCCCAGTTCTTTAAGTGTCACTAATAAAGTGGACAGTAAATATAATTCAGTTTCACTTAGAAAACAGACTTCTCTGACATGATTCACATATTTAGCATTAAAACTAGGCATCTACTGTTTCTGAACTTGAAGCAGGTTTGTTACCATGGTTATGAGAAGGCTTGTCCAATGTGGATTTAGCAAGAAGCAATGTTTATTTATTTTTTTATCCAGATACTAAGCTCTATGATGTTGACATTCAGCTGAAAGCTGATGCCACCATTTATTCTCAGGTAACGTGCCAGTGTGCTAAATCTACTAAAGACGCACTGAATGTGTGCTGATTTGAGCTTTTTTAAAGCAATACGCGTTAGTGAGGCATTCATCGACACCCATAGGTGGGCGTAAGCACAGACAAGGCATGTACCCATAGAGGTCTTTGTGGGTTATAAACACCAGTGTGGTTTGTTTACATGCTCAGAATCAGTTTGGGAAGCTGTCATTTACCAAGACATACACACACGGTTATTTAGAGTGTGCACAGCGAGGCGGAAGGAGTGTGAGAGGAGCTGTTTGCATGGAGCCGTCTGTGCGATTACCGCCCTACAACAGTCTATTTCTGATCGTCCACATTTTAGGTGCAGCTTGCCAGGAAGTGCAGTTTCCTGCTGAAGAGTCTGATTCAACAGCGTCAAGCTGTTGCACTTGTGTGTGCATGCGTGTGTGTGGACAGACAGGAAAAGGCATGAAAGGGAGATGAGGGATCTTGTCTTCTACACAAACCCAGTTGCTATTTTTTACTATTTTATATATAGTAATTCTCAAAGTCCTTCTTCCCAAATCTTTGCCAACAAACTTGTAAATGCCAGGTGTTATTGCTAATGTGTAAATAATGCAGGACTCCTGTGAGATATTTGTTCTGCTCCTGGATAGACGGGAAGGTGCAGAAAACTCAGCAGAAGCAAAGAAATGCAGAATAACGTGGGGGGAAAGTTTTGCTTAAAGGAGAGTGAAACCTGCACAGAAGCAAAAGCAGACAGAAGACAGAGGATAAATCACCAAAGCAGCAGAGTGGACTTATAGTCTCAGTGCATCATGGGAGGTCTCCCAGCATGTCTGGCCTGTAGTGGTTCACCTTTATTGGTGTGAAGTTTTAATCCTGTTGTCAGACAAAGACAAAGCATGACTGCTTTACCCCAAGTTGGAGTAGTTACCTCAGGAGAGAAACCTGACTATTGGAAACTGAGCGACAAATTCTTTACTTTACTTCGACTCTCTGATTTTAAATTACCATATGATCATTTAGCTGTGCTATGAGGTCTGAAGGAAGTCACGGAGCTTGCAGATTTATGGCGCAGAGTGCTTCGTGTCAAGCTCAGTCAGTTTCTGTTTTTTTTGTCATGATGCAGGTATTTACGTAATGTTTCACTTCTTTTGACTGGTGCAGTCATGTCAGTTTTTCCACAATGGAAATGCCTAAATTTGGAAATATGTCTTGCCGTGTTACATTTAGTGGAGAACAGCTGTTGGAAAAAATAAAATAAAATGTGTGTGTGTATATGTATATATATATAATTGTACATGATTAACTTTTTATTATTTTGTGATGTTATAACCATAAACCCTTTGTATTTATTGCTTGTTTGCATTTTGTACAATAGACAAATGCAAAGTAGGGTATAATTGTCAAAAGAAAAATAACATTTCTACAAATTAAAATCAGTCACCTTGACTCTGATACCCTACCATATACATCTGCTCCAAGAAGGCCTCAGAGGTTTGCCAAAGAACCTTTAAAAAAACACATTAGAAAAACTTATGATGTGCAATAATGATGGTGAATTATGTGAAAATGATACAATGTGCAGTAAATAACTAGGTAAACATTTCAATGTTTTTAATAGTCTTTGTGATGCACACAGCAGTGACGGGTTTGCTGTGTATAAAAATGTTGTGCACAAAGATGAGGCTTCTGGCATGCAAACAAAGCGCTATAAATAAAATAATGTAAATTCATCTGACTTGCTCAAAATGCAAATTCACTGACCAGCAATCCTGCCTTGTATCTGCGACTCTGACAACTTATGCACAGATTTAAAACTGTTCTATTGTGATGCTTCATCTGTCCTGAATCTTGCACTGGGTCATTACACTATCAAATCAGACATAAAAATATATATTGTGAGTAATGTATCGTATTTGATGATGGTTTGTGTTAAACCTTACTATGAACCTTTTGGTATCTCTCTGAATGACATATTTTTTCTCCCTACTTTCACTTTCCTTCTTTCTCATCTTCTCTCCCTGCTATCCTTTGCTGTCTCACAGGTGGTGCCCTGCAGTCAGACGTGCACACTCGTTCGAACACATGGCTGACAGCATGAGGGCTTGAAAGAGCGCACAAGAGTGAGGGATCTGAAGACGCCCCGTCATAGAGAAAAGACGGAGTCTCTGGCCAGTCCCCTGCTATTTTGCAGCTGTGTTGGAGTCAGAAAGTGTTCGTCGGCCTTGCAAGGAAAATGAGATCTCTCTCTACATGCCATTTCCCTGTACATGGGTACGGGCCAGAGCAGCGTAAAGCCTTCCTGGCCTTGAATGAAACCCCTGGGGCTGTTCTGTGGAGGTATTTGTGATAACCCTGCTGGATGTTCTCTTGTCACCCTCCTCCATGGTTGTCATTAGTGGCTAATGAGCTGCTGCTGGAGAGCGAAAGGAGAATGCGCCTGTTGTGAGAGAGGCAAGACCTTACAGCTGTTATTAAGAGACCCAGGGATCTCGGACAAGAAAGTCTTTGCCCTTCCCAAAAAAAAAAAAGAGAAAAAAAAAAAAAGCAATCAAAGCCTTTGAAACCTGCAGCTTTGAAATTATGAACATATTTTAACTCTGAAAATTTTGATATGTCTTCCTTTTCTGGTATTAATTATTAATATTTTGTGTTCATGTTATATGTCTGATGACAATGACACGGATCGGATCAAAGACGCAGTATTTCGACACGATGATTCAGCCATTGAACATGTACTGTGTTGCTTTTTAAAAGTGAAAATTTTAGCAAGAAGATATTTTATGAAACTGTTATACATCTCTTGTTTGTTGTAAATTTTATGACCTTTGACTATCTTATGTCTTGAAAAAAAAAAAAAAAAAATTGGCCACCATGGCAGCAGCCTATCGTGTCGTTGTAAGCAGTGTGAGCTGCTACAACAGCGTGGTGGTGGACCGACGTGCTCACTCCCAAGCTGTGCACTACTGCTCAGGGCCATGCGGGGCGCTGTCCCAAGGTTTAGACTGCACCGTTGCACACCGTGGCACGTGCTCTGAGTTTCTTGTTGACCCCGATGCCACATTCAATGACTTCAACAGCTCGCCCATGCAACCTCGTAACATGATTTCTCCGCACCTTCCCAACCATAATAAACTTTGTGTTTCCATGGATACTATTCATAACGGTGGTCTGGAGAGGGCGGGCAGCAGTGGCAATTTGTCTTTAGGGGAAGACAGCCCCACATGGCGGGGTAAAAAGACCTCGAGTGGCACAGGATCTACTGGCAACCTGACCTGCTCTGGCAGCTTGAAGGACATTACTGAAGAGGCCATTAACCTGGCCAGCGGCAAGCTCAAAGAATTTTCCTTTGACAAGCTCCGCCTGTCCTCCTCTAGTCATGTTACTCTCCGCAAAGGTCGTAAAGTACGCCCAGACTCTTTTAGTCGTCGCTCAACTGACCTGGAGATCATCTACGGCCACTTCAGCTCCAGTCTTACAACAAACACAACAACTAATAGCATGACAAATGGCATAATTACTTCTAATGATGAGAATGTGCCGCCATTTATGCTAGGGAAAGGAACTGGAGCAGAAGAAGCAAAGTTAAAGGGGAGCTCTGGTTCTCTGTCAGCCACCACGAAAGTGGGTAATGGCTCTACAAGCAGCCTTTCAAGTATTGGATCACTGGACCAGAGTCTAAACACCGTGGCATCACTGTACCGCACTACTCTTGGAGAGGAGAACCTAATTGCCCGACTGCTAGAGAAGACAAGGGCAGAGGCTGGCAGTGGGGGGGCAGGTGGTGAGGACATCCGTGCCTGCCTTGACATCCTGCTTAAATGTTCTGAAGACCTAAAGAAATGCACTGACATCATCAAACAATGCATCAGGCGCAAGGCAGGTGGAGGGCCAGAGGACGGAGGAACAAATCCTGACAGTGTTTATCGGGCTGTGATGACCCGACTGAGCTCCTATCTCAAGAGACTTCCTTTAGAGTTGGAAGGGGTTGGAAGTCTGGGAGGCATGGGGCAGGGCGGTCAAGGCGCACCTGGGAGTGGGCATAGTGACCTCGCTGAACTGATCAACACAATTCACTCTATCCAACAGGGACCCTTTTCTCCCATCTTTGGCAATGAGCAACCTCCCCGCTATGAAGACGTTGTGCAGTCACCTCCCATCTCCAAGAAATTTTTACACTCAACATCTTCTGCTCCTTCGTCAGCCTCACCTTCGTCCACATTATTAAAATCAGATTCCAACCAGGCCAAATCAGTCCAGAGTTCAGTTTCGCCAAAGGGTACCTCACTTACCAATGGACTACAGTCCACACATCCTTCTTTGAGCACCCAACACACTCTGTCTCCTCCACCTGTGACATGTTCGCCTTCTAGTTCTTCTCCAACACACTCACCCTCCCCTCTTCGAAACTCTCCTACATCATCATTCACACACACTCCCCCGACATCACCCATGGAAGCTCTATACATCGAGGAAGAGGAGGCAGAAATCGGAAAGACTGCAGATCATATCTCACAGCCGACACACATGCCAACCAGAGGGATTAACATGACCCAGAACAAAAATGGAACTATCATGGGGCAACAACTGCACTTATCGCAATCTAACACAGCTAATAATTCTTCAAATCATTTGCCAGGAAGCTCCAGCTACATTCCCACTTGGCCTTCCTCCACCTCTTTAACAGTCTCGACACCCAAAGCTACTTCACACAGAAATGATGACATTGATAAGCTACTGATGGACTTGGAGAATCTCTCTCAGAGTATGAGCCATCCTAGAACCACGGAGCCTCCACTTCCTGCTAAGACCAGGAAGAGAGGAGGAGCACAAGCGATTGTCTCCAACGAGTCTCTTACTCAAGCCAGAATGGCTCAGCACCAGGTTCAAAAACCGACCAGCCACCTGGGCATGAATGGCGTTAACTCCAGGGTGACCCAGAGCCCCACTCCTCCTCAGGGAGAGAACAGTGAACCTGGCACTGGGGATGAAGAGGATGGGGCACTGTTGTTGAGAATTCTTGAGAGCATTGAAAGTTTTGCCCAGGAACTTGTTGACTCTGGGGCAGGGAGTTCAGGTAGTGCCGAGAGAAAAGTTGGAAAGGAGAAGGAGGTGATGAGGCTCCTGCAGGATACGCTGGTCACTGCTGGTAGGGCCGAAACACCAGACAACACAATTCCACCGGTGGTCCCCACTACTCCCTCCACGCACACAGCTGTAGTCCAACCTGTGGCTTCAAATCACACTCAGGAAAATGCACCCAAAGTTTTATCTGCATTAGCTTTTATAAGTGCAGCATCTGAAGCGGAGTGTGATGCCGCAGTTGAATCTGAACCTAAAACTACACCAGATGCCAATCCAGAAAATGTGTCCAAGTCAGTGCCAGATGAAACTACTGAAACTCCTACAGTCGAGGTTCGTTCAGAATCCCTGCCTGCTTCTGGAGCTTATACACCTGGAAACCTTCAGGATTGCACCCTTGAAGATGAACCCGCACCTGCAGTCTCTGTAGAAGAACCATCTCCTGTTGCCCTATCAGCCACAGAAGATGCCGTCGTTGCTGATGGTGAACCCTCGGCTTCGAGAAACACTGGTTCTACCCTTCTCATCCAGCAGACTCCAGAGGTCATCAGGGTAAGTAACCCACAGTCACAAATGCACTGTCGACGAATTAACCAAAGATACTTACATTCACTGCTTTATGAAGATGTATAGTCAAGCAATTATATTACAACCCTTTGGAAGCCCAATAAATCTTACAGATTTATTTAAAAGTATGCCCATTATATTCAACATTCTTAAGATGTTTTATTTATGACTCATATGGTGGTGCACATTGTCAGGAAGACAACATCCCTGCAGGTCTTTGCAATTAGTTGAACACTGATAATGCTGATCATTAGCTGGGTACCACTTTGACGGCTTTGAAGGACATCTGGGGCAAGGAAGGACTCCCTGTGAACTCCAGTATGTTGTCTTTGGTTGGGTGAACAAAATCCTACCTAAGATCTGACGGATGTTTAGTGTACTACGGAGCAGAAAGCTGACGTCGATGTTTCTCCCTACATCCAATGGGTGCCGCAGGTTGTTAACAATAGATAGTAGCCACACAGGCACACCCGCTAGAAGGAAACAAACGCACCCAGTACAACACTTTCATTCTATTGGCTGAGAGGTTGCCAGTCGACTGTGCCAAAAGGCAGCTCTGTGTTTCGTAAGCGAGCAGAGAGTCGAATAGAGACCAAGTCTGAGCGCTAGGAGATGTTTTGAGTACAATTATTACAAGTTTTGAGAAGAAAGATGTGAAGTCCTGCTTTCAAAATAAAAATGTAAGCAAAAGTACTAAACAGTTTTGAGAACAAAAGATAGGAAATCCTGCTTTCAGACTGAAAATGTGTGCTCTTGGATTATGGCAGAAAAATTCCCCGATAAACAACTGCCTTATAAAGTGTTAGGGATGTAGCTTCTCTGAGTGACGGGGCTGCATGAAGAGTGTAATTAAGTGTGATGAGTGTGCTGATTCAGTGTCGGTGTCTGTGCTTGGATAATAAAGGCTGAAACTCCAAATCGTGGAACAGAACAGCTCATTGTTTTAGGAGACGTTCTCTCTCTGTTGACTTTTCCTGTATGTGTTTTGTTCCATCAGTGTGTGTGTGTGGAGGCCTTGTGTGTGCTTTGCTTTCCTCACTGGGGAATATTTAAAGGTAATTTAAGGCTGTGAAGGAGAGAACTGGAGCATGTTATTGTGTGTGTGTGTGTGTGTGTGTGTGTGTGTGTGTGTGTGTGTGTGTGTGTGTGTGCATGTGCACCACAGTGGGTACCAACATTGCAGTGTATAATCTCAGAAAGAAGGGTTGCCTCCACCTGTCTGTGATGTGGATATTTAGCAGCACATTATGGATTTAGAGAATTATGTGCGACAGACATGCCCACATTTCCATATCCACACTCCTTCAAATCATTTCTATTGTCACTTTTCTTTCTTCTTTTAAGTTTTTTAATCCTCTCCCATTAGTCCTCCTAAAAAGGCTCCCACTGATGTTTGTATGTGTTTATGTGCCGAGCTCTGTAACCTTATGCCCTGCTGATATGTAGGGCACCTACATATGAGGTTACCATGGTAGCTGGCCCTGTTGGAGCAGAACTGACAAAACACAAAACCAACACATCATTACACAATCTCTTTCGGCCTTCGTTGTCAAGTCTTCCCAGTTGATTCTGCTTCCTCTTCACTGTTTTGTTTTCTCTGCCTCCAGTGCTTCATGCATTCTCGGATTTCGTTTTAGTAGCTTGCAGGTTGTGTTGATCTCCTTAGTGTCCTTCTTTTACCTGCAGTGAGACAATAAGTCTATGTTCACCGCAACTCCTCTCGCTGCCCTGTGATTGGTCGCTCTGGTATTTTGGGAGGTTGAATAACAGTTGTTGCTGTGTGCAGGGCAGAGAAACCTAATGAGACTTGGCGATTGGAGCCCGGCTGGAGTTGGTGGAGGGAGGCTGGGGCTGTTGGCACGTTGAGTGTTAATGGTGTCATTACCCTGCATCCCCTCCCCAACCCACCACCAGCCCCCGGCTGAACTAGGTGCTAGGCAGACCTAAATCTGTCCACCCCTCTGTACTATGGCATCCCGCTAACAGACTTACTGTCGCCACAGTGTAAATGGACCTGCGTGTGGTGTGTGGGACGATGTGTAAGTCAACACAAGTTTATCATGAATTTTTCAGCTGTATAAGGGGGTATGTTTGTGGAAATGCAAGTGCATATGCAAGGAAAAGACCTACAGATGAACGAGTCTCAGTAGATGAAGACTGGTGTCCTACGAAAACATGACTGTTTGCGTTGCGTGTGTGTGTGTTGTCTCATCAGTAAGACGATCCACTGCTACTGTATGTCGCATCTGAGTTTGAGAATAGCTCCAGAGCACCAAGACTGGCACTCTGGAAATTATGCTAATATTGCTCAACAACCATCAAGCCCCTCGAGTTTCAGATTTGGACTAGAGACTCACTTAAGTCTCAAAAACATGTTAGACTTGACTTAGACTCTTCATCTGAGTCTTGAGTCTCATAAATAACATTTTGTATCTCATTTGATGGGAAGTAATTTTATTTCTTTTGTACACAGATGTACATTTACCTTTCATATGGAGTAGTAGTATTTGATCAATTTAAAATAATGGGTTAAAGAAATTCAGGACGGTTTTGGAAAGCTAAATTAAATCTTAATAGATTAATAGACAATTGTTTAATGTCTGTGTTTAATATAATACGATATTTGAACTCCTAGCATGTTTTAGGCAATCTGGATACTGTTGATGAAAAAAAGGTTGAGACTCAAACTAGAGCAATCCATCATGTCCTTCCTCCACCTGTTGCTACATACTGACTGTCAGCTGGCTGAAAGAAGCCTACAAAAAACAAAACCAGCCAACAAAACTACACATTTTATTGTTTATAAATGTATTTAATTGGAAAAAACATGGAAATTAAAGAGCACAAACATCAGTCTTATATTAACATAACATGACAGTTGGCGAGTTGATAGCAGCATGCCTGCAGGTTCTTCCTGAGCAGATAGCCTGACTAACGAACCAGCTAATATTAGCTTACTACAGTATACTTGTCTTACCCCGAAGAGCAAAATGGTGAAATGGAGTGATATTCTGCACTAGTACTAGAACAAGTATTAATTTAATGCTAATTTATTCTTTCTTTTTTCATAGGTGCATTTATCAAAACTAAAATAAAACAAATGAATTTTATAGATAACTTTATTACACCTGCAATAGTCGATATGCGATATAATAGCATCGGTTATAACTGTTACGTTCCGTGATGTGCTTTTGTTTTTGGTCATCTGAGAATCTCTTAATGGCACAAACCTGCTGCAGGGCTTTGTTTTTATTTTTTTATTTACTTTTTGCATCCAGTCAGAAAATACCCGTTTATCTTCATGACGACAAGGATGCCAGCCGACCTCACTCAAAGGCAAGACCGCATCCGGAGCATAGAGACGTGGCGGCAGCAGCGCCACGAGTCGAGGTTCATCATGTCAGCAGCCTCTTTCTCTTCCAAAAATAAGAGGCTGAAGTCTGACATGTTTTTGTTTCTGCTCTCCGAACGGTGACATAATTTACAGACACACTTAGGCCCCTGGCGGCATCGAGAGCTGCCAGTCTGATGGCTCTATTAACCCTCTGGTGGTTCGAGTGGTTTTGCCAACTGTTTGGGACGTGCTTGCTGTTCCAAAATAGCACTGGTTGGCTAACCGTTCTTCCTGAATGTGCAGAAAGTGGCAAACATGTACAAGCACACTAAGCAAGATGATTTACTTGACAGAGTATGAAAACATTTAGAATGTCCTACTCTGAAAAATGCATTGCATTTAGGTCTAAAACTGTAAAGTCAAAAGAGAAACGGCAATAATAAGCTTAAATTAAAGGTTTGCCCTTAGCTGTTTGGTTTTATATGGTCAAATATTTTTCACTTCGCTGAAAGCACAGTTATTGCAAATTAAATAATTGTTTCACTATAACGAGCGCCATCAGAACCAGCAGAGCTCTTACGGGTATCACAAAATTGCTATCTGCAATTATTTAGGCAGACTACAACTATTTTTCAGAATCATTATAGCCTGCCTGGTCCTCCCATAAACATAAAAATAAATCCTTATTTTCATTATTATTTCTTTCGGATTTTCCAACCCCATGTACTTCTTTTTGCTTTGCATTTGCTTAGCGGCAAAGACCTTCTTTCAGTACTTTGCCTGAAGGTTGATCCACTCTTTCTACTTTTAAGATCATAAGCATAAAAAAAACACAGTACACAGGTGCGCTGGCTGGATATGAATAACCATACAGCTTAAAGCTGCATTAGGATTTAACGAGAAGTATATTCATGTGTTAAACTTTTACTGTCTACTTTTTTTTTTAGTCTTGACAAGAGAGCAATTAACCGTCCGGGGGAAAAAGTATGAAATGTTTTGTTTTAGGCAGTTAAGAAAATAATATAAGGTGGAAGAAGTAGTAAGAGGGCAAGAGAGGCAGAAGAATAAATGTTTGTGACAAAGAGGAGAAATAAAATATTTTTATTTTAGTTCCTGGCTAAGAAATGGAGGGGAAAAAAATTCATGGGTATTAAAAAAGGATGACAGAAAGATGGAGTAAGGCAACTCAAATTGCAGCACCTGGAGGGGAAACGATTCATGCCGGTGAGCCCTGCATTGTGCAGTTGTTGACTTTGGGTCTGCAGAGGGTGACATCATTCCTTGGCCGCTTCCACAGGAAATAAGGTCACAGCAGGAACTTTGGCCAAGAGTGGAAAGTTGCTCGTTTTGACCTAGGTGCAAGTACACGGACGAATGCGTGCACTTTTAGCTACACACTCAATATACTTTCAGCCAGGGAGGTTTGGATTGCTGTGCAAGTAAGAATGGTTCCAATAGACTCCAAGGTCAGCCTGAACAATGGGACATTCACCACAGTACACACATCCAAATGATCACACGCGCACACACACACACACACACATATAGGGGCTTGCAAAAAGCATCCATTGCCATTGTGTGTATTTTCATAGCATTTGATGTGACACAAGTAGTGCATATTTGTGAGGAGGAATAAATGTGGTTTTTGAAA